TGAAAAAACGCGGTTTTCCGATAGAATAGGCAAAATTATATTCGTAACACCTTTCAACAAAAGTAAGATTACCGTGGTGGTGCTGAACATTCTTTCTAGGTGTTTGTTTACAGAGCGACGTTTAATCGTTTTTTCCCCAAAATTTAAGCCGTTTACTCAGAAGAAGCGCCAAACTTTGAAAAAATGGTGGGAGACGAAGCATTTATAATGACTTCCCTTGTATTGATTCTCGCCTTATTTCCCTGAAGGAGACGGCGTTTCTTTCAGAGGATGCGACTAATGTCTCGGCACATAGAGGATGACACGGATTGTTGAAACGGGAAAGTATTACGAGTGAATTTGTCTGCCATTCCGAAAGCATTGTTTACAAAGTTAACCACGAGACGAGCGCGAGTGTCTGGAAAATATTTTCTAGTTCACGATTTAGCAGGCATCTGTCACTACGGGCAATGTAATTGGCTGCGGCATTCATTAGGACGAGTTAAACCATCTCGCGAGGTAGTATAAGTTTGCGGGAATTTCCGGTCATAGAGGCGACTTCCCTTGTTGTTTTTGCATTTTTAACTAGCTAAACTTAGGACGAGCTCTTTTCCCTGTACTTCGAACTTCCAGACTTTTCCGACTTTAACTTGTCAAACTTGGTCTAGCGAAAACACAACCCGTAAGTCATGACGCGAAAAGTACTGGAAGCCAGACGAGGATCAGGGAATGTTTTGGAATACCCTTTCGGAGCTTGCGTACTATTTTGCAAATTTTTCCGGCGCGAATTAATCCATTTGCTTAACTTTGAAGGACGAAGAAAATTGGACAAACAAAAAAACAAAAAACAAATCAAAAAAGGCTTTCGAAATAGGTCGGCTATGAAACAAAACTGAAATGGTAGTCGTAGATAACAATTCAATAACTAAAACAGAAATGATTAATTTATACTCGCAGAGTTCAAGCATTTAGGAGGTTTCCTGGAAAAACAGGACCAAAGGTCACTGGATCAAGGATCAAGGTCAAAACACGAAGCCGTTTTTGGCGACTGCCGGAGGGAAGAGCAAATTATCAGCTGCTTTAACTTCATCTCTTCAATTTTTTACTGACGTCATATCCTTAAAGGAAAAGCAGATGGAATGCATCTGAAGAATCAATTGCTAAGAAGAAGACGTTTTTAGTCGTTTTTCCGACAGTATTTGACAAGAGACATAATTTGGAAAGTGATAAAATTGTATCGCCCCACTGAGTTGTTGTTGTGAGTCCCCTGGAGTATACATGGACGACAGTCGCCAAAATTGCACCGGAAGTCAGAGACGCAATCTCATACCGACACTCGGGATAATTTAGAAATTTCATGTGAATATAATATATGCACAAGTAAATCCGCTATGTAGCTTTCAGTCTTCAATAGGAGTTCTAATAGTCGGTAGGCGAAAATTTACACTTCCACAAAGTAGTATGGCTTTTTCAGTATTTGGTATTTTCTCTTATTTTCGCTTTTACATACGGAAGATCTTGACTGAGTCACGTAGATGAGCAATCAATCACGCCTATTAATTTATTTAGTTTGATTCATTTTGAACTGATCCCTGATCCGGTGATCCTTGATCCTTGATTCTTGATCTTTGACCCTGTTTTTCCAGGAAACCCATTTGGGAAGAGTTTGGGGAAGGCATTAGGGAGGAGTTTAGTTTTCTCACCACCTCAATTTATCAATAACATCTAATCAGCACGCCGGAATTATTAAACTTACTACAAAACTTTTTTATCATTCGACAAAAATTTTTCTTGATTCATCAACATAGCATCTTTCACACGGCTGTATGAAGTCACAAAACATGAAACGTTTGCAAAAGTCGCTATTATATCATACAGTATAAGCCAAAATATTAAAATAATGCTCACTCCGGTCTTGATGCTTTTTCTTGTAAAGTGCTACATCTCCGGATTATATGTGACATTCTAAACTCCATGACGAGTGCGCATGGGACTTAACATTACTCGCTGTAGAATGACTGCAGAGACCCTCTGGAATAGTTCGCAGAAAAGGGGTCTGTGGATCGCCCTGACGTGTCAACAAAATAGATTCGTCAACGCGACTACATCTGCGTTGATTCCTCTCGAGTTGGCGCCGTTCACCAAACCACACCTAGAGAAAATAATTTTAATTTATTACCTTATCCGAAAAATTTAACCATACAGTTGTTTGTCAAGTTTTGAATATAATAATTATCGAGGAGATCAAATATTTACGAGCAGGAACACTATTTCAAACGCTAATTCCACCCCTATTACTGACGAGTGTAAATTCTCAACCTACCCACCTCTCACTGAAACGATTTACACGAACGACTTTTTGACCCCGTGCACTCTACGAATTGATTCATTCGATTCCGGTCGTTTTGTATCTGTGTGTGATACTTTCTTTCGTTCAAAAGAACAAATAATCTTTTTCTGACCAACAAAGTGGTTTCTATTCAATGATGCTTTGTTTCGAAAGATACGGGGTTCAGATGGCACAGAAAGCAAATATTTCTTTACAGCCCTGTCTTCTCATTAAGACTAAAGCTCTCCACGTTAAGACCTTCAGAACTCTGCTTAGGTTAAGGTGATTTTTCACCCTGCAAGCTCCAATTATGACTACTTGAATTGAACAATATTCAGGAACGAAAAAAACCTACGTATATTACCTCCATCTCTGTCTTGGTTACTCCAAGTTCTATCGCTATTGTCGTCTTCTCATTATCGTTCAAAAATTTCTTTCTCTGGAAAACATCCTCTAATGCTGTCTGCTGTCCAAACGTCAAACAAGTTCTTTTGACCCGGAAGGACTTTTGGATCACGGAGCTTCGATAAGAAATGTCTTTGTTTGGTAGCAGATCTGAATGAAAAAAATACATAAAGTTAACAACATACAGCATAAACAAACAACTAAACTGAATGTGCTGAATTGTAAAACGGATAAAAGATGGAAAATAGATCTGACCGTGAGATCAAGTACTTGAAGTTTATTTACTTAATTTTCTGTTCGTCTATAGTAGTCATGAAGAGAAACTGCGGGAGGATGGCTCTAACCCGTTTCCCGCACGAATTTTGGAAAAATTCACGCGGCTCTTAGTTAAAGGGAAAACCTCAAATTTCTCTTCTGGTGTACAAGGTTTCAGGGAAATGGTGACTATTGTCACAAAGATGAAAGAAAAAATTCACGGGTCACGTATATTTCAGGAGACAAATCGCGCACACAGGTTGATAAATTCGCGAATCACGCGCGCCTTTCTGTAAAATTTAGGCGTCACAAATGAATTTCGGTCTTATTCACGTGTCACATTTATACCCTTTGCTACTTTCCATGGAGTGAGGGACAGAACATCCTTCGTTTGTTCGGGATGTCCACAATCCGGGTTTTTTTTTTCCACGACTGAAAAAGATCCATGGAGTAAAAACAATTCTGACTCACCAGGAGTTGACAGCAAAACACACGGTTCTGTCTCTCCGAAGTCCAGCCGACGGCAAGCAGCGCTTGGCCGTTTCTTTCCGTGTTTCGGACGGTCAACAGTCATTTTCTTTGCTCTTTTGACAACTTCGCCATATTTACGGATGCCATCGGTATGAACCACGAAAAACTCAGCAGGTGCTTCGTTCATCTTCTCTCGAGTGTGTAAATAACGCGTGCGCATGTGACAGAACTAACTTGTTTAAGTGCTCATTCACTTCGATGGTTTATATAAATTCTGATGAAGGAGGAGTTTATCACTGTTGTTTCAAAATAATTAATCATCTTTTGAAATATTCAGCATTTAATTAGCAAACTCACAGGAGAAATATCTCACCTTGTGATTAAGTAAACAACAAGTAACTAGACAATGAATGCTAACTTGACACCAACTTGAGAAAATTGATTCTAACGATGATAACAATGATTGATGATCAAACGGTAGAATCTTCTACGTATCACAGGGGACTATTTAGGTCTGTGTGACTTTTAACTCTTGATACACGATTTTACAATATGAATAAAGACGTTGTTTATCAATTTGTATTCCTCAATCTTAACGAGAACAACAGCAGTGATAATGTAACACGAGAACAAAAGCTAGGTGCTTTCGATAAACCGTTCTATGGAATTTTGTCATTTTGAGTGCACCCGCAGCGAAAGCGCAAGGAAAAAGTTACAGGACTTATTAACCTTGAAACCTGAGTAACTTGCGTATCTTAAATAGGAGGAGTTTCACCTCTAATGCTAACAGTTATAATATCGATCATTTAAGAGCGTTGATCCTGTGAATTAGCGTGATTCGCTTTGGAAAACGTTACGCAGCTTTTATTGCTTTGCTAAGCCCAGTGATAGCATTTGTTAGAAAAGGGAACTAATTGTTATCAACTGAGTTGAAAACGTAAATTGGCCACCGTAAAGAGTTAACTAGCTCTTTACTCTTCGCGGTAGCCAATTCATGTTATCAACTCAGTTGATAATGCTAAAATTTCCTGTTTTACTCTCCCACCGACGCAGTACCACAGTTTCTTTAGAAACTTACACCCTTTATTCATTTACGTAAGTAACTCAGGCATCGTAACGCATCGCCACGAAACACAACGCAAGATAACAAAACGTAACGCAACATAAAACTATGCAACGCAACGTAACACAAAACGTAAACGCGTAACGCATGACATCCAAAAACATTGCAACGCATAACGTAATGCGAAAAAGCACTGATGAAAGCATATTTCGTTTCTCTCTGGGAAAGTCCTGGTTGTTTTTCACTGTTGCTTGACCTGCATACTTTTTGGGGAGATGAAAAACAAAACAATTTTTTCATATGAAGCTTAGCTTACTCGTCAAGAGGTAAGAACAAAACTGAAGCTGTACGAAAACAAGTTGTTTTTAATTTATACACAACAAAAAACAAGATTTTTGAAAAATATCGAAATCAAAATAGAATTACGCTGACTTTGCACGCTTTTTTATCTCTCAACCCAGTCTTTCTCGTTAATTTGACCCTAATAAGTCTCTAATAATGGCGGAGGCTGATTCGGGAAGGCGTTCGAGAATCACGCTTATAGCAGTAGATCAAAGTGAATGGAGCGAGCAAGCTTTTGAATGTGAGTACGTTATTCCATTTAGCTGTGAGAAAAAAATATGTTCTTGCGCGCGTCACACTGTAGGTACTGCAACTGAATTAAATATCCGATATACTGAAATTTTAATTAGCTCTACATATCTACCGAAGTTTTTCACTAATTTTTGACGCCAAAACTTTAAGTAACCTAAAGACAAGCCCTCGTTGTTTTCAAATGGTATAAATTGTAATTTGGTTTAATTCAGTGTAGCAGTGGTGTTATTAAAATGCCAACGCTCATTCCCCACGTGTCCAAGCAAAAAATGCCCAATTCAATGTTTTTGGCTATCTTAACGTAACAAACCACAAATCTTAACATCTAATTTTAAAAAATCCGTGTTATTCGCGTTATTTGTCTTGCTGTGTCTTGATTATTGTCCGAAAAGCTCCTGTTTTAAAGTATTTGCAAGCTGTAAAGCATTTCCTTTTGCTTCTGGTGTTTCAAAACGATAATCGATTTCAAATCGATTTTCATATGGTAATTTAGGTGCAAAATGGAAAAAAACTAAGATGCTATGATGGTTATGTAGAAAATGTAACTCGATTGTTAAGGCCAGGATAATTGCATGGTTTGAACTCCAGTTTCTTTGTTTGGTTTTTTTTTTCCTGACCCTTAAGACTAGCATCAGATTTCTCGTAACAATATCACCCCTGAATCACTTATTGAGGTCATGAGAATAAAGAAAATAATCACCAACTAAAGAAGCACTTGATGGTTAAACAAATTCTCCTTATCAGCACCTCAGGAAATATAAAGAGAACAGTAAGAAGAATATGCATACTGATGTTCGGGTGTTCAGGTTATTTTTGTTGTGTTTCCCTGTGAGATCAGATCAGCAAAACCAGTATAATGTCATGAAATTAAGTCTGAACACACAGAGTGCTTAGATGTTTTATATGGAGAAACTATCACCCAAACCTTATGTGGTGAGGGCATTTCCCGTGACGGGGTATACAGCAAATTCATAACTCCCACTGGCCTCCTTTAAAAGATCCTGCTGCAAATGATATTATTTACAAGGGTATTTTGGTTGATTAAAGGGTTACACAAGAGAAAGAGAGTAACAAATGGTTCATTTTTAACCAAAACAATTTTTATCTATCTGTTCTTGTCATTGAAAGTTATTTTTAGGGATGGAGTACTGCAGGTATGTTACTATTTTTCCATAAAGAAAGTGTAGGAGGAATCATTAACATTGAAAGTGAAATTAAGTCAGAAACACCCTTAACTGTCCATGCAAAATTGCAGCCCAAAGCTGTAGACTTTTTATCTTTTCCATTGTTCAATCTTAAAATCATCTTCCCTTCTTCTGCATAGATCAATGGCAGGAGTAAGGCCCCTGAAATTATGATTCTTAGTAACACCCTACCAGTTAAACTTGTAACACTGTTGCATAATTACGGTATTGGTCACAGTATCAAGTGAAACAACCATACAATTAATCTTTATAATCATGCTTATCATATATCCTCAAATAAGCGCCCACACTCTAATTCACAACCTCCCCCTAATTAGAGACCCCTCAAATAAGCCCCCCCTCCTGTCCTCCCTCACTTTCTACAGGGGAATCAGCACAGGAACACAATAAGCACCCCATCTCCCCTTGATAAAGCACCAGCCCTCCATTAGGTGCTCCTTGCCCCCTTGTTGCCGAAACAAGCACCCAAGCATTTATTTAAGGAAATTTGGCATATAGGGATTAAAGTGTTCACAATTCCACTTTGTTTTTTCTCTCAGGGTTCATGGAAAACATCTACCTCGAAGGAGACCAAGTAATTCTCTTAAGTGTTGTAGAGCAACTCCATCTTCCATTTCTAGCTGGTATGTACTCAAAGCTTTTTTTTATAATCACAGGTTTGGGGGTGGGGAAGGGGGAGGAATTTGAGGGAAGCTGGTTTGGATGTGCCAACAGGGCAGTCAATAAGATCAAAAGTGTTGTGAGGCACTGAACTCAGGGGAATTGCAGGGACAGGATGAGTATGATGGATGCAAAGCTGATGTAAACTGACTTCAAGAAATTTGATTATACTATGTTTTTAATTATGTACTTGGTAATGAATTTTTGGTTCCTTAAAAAAATTATTTTATACATTATGCAGATGCTGTGGTCATTGAGGAATGGAAAAATGAGGTTCACAAAATGGAGGAAGAATTGAAGGCTTTGGAGAGGAAATATATTGATAGGTGTTCAGATTTGAGGGTATGGGGTCACCTTTTAGTTGGTTGTTATTAAAATTATTTGCCTAAATACCTTTTGGATGGATGCCCTCGACAGAAACTGTATCAAAGATATTGATAATAATAAAATGCATGCATTCTCGTCCCTAATTTCTACTTCAATCCTTCCCCCCCTCAGAATTATTCTTAACAAACTAGAGATGAATAATCGCATGCATATAGTGAATGAATCATCATCATCATCATCATCATCATCATCATTATCATCATCATGCTACAGGTCAAAAGTCTTGTCCTACCTTCATCCCTCAAAAAGTTTAAACTTTTTCTCTTGGTTTTATCCCATTATTTGTTTCCTATTGAACAGTGGATTAATTTATTAACTCTTCTTGTAATTACTGATGGAAGAAGAGAATACCTTGTTGGCATTCAGACTTTTCTCTTTAATGTTATCCAGTTGTCTGACCTACAAAACTAAAACGCTCAATAGCGATTTGACCTGGAAACCTTCAATCCAGTTTATTTATTACTTAGTATTAGACATCAAACATGAACATATTTTGGCAAGAGATTAAATCACAGACTACAGACTATACATGCTGCAGAGAGAGAAGTTGATTCAAAAATGGGAAGTAACAAGGTCCCTTTTCACACTACCATTGAAAAAACAGCCATGTAATCAGTGCTGCTCTTTCTTGTTGATAGACTCCCATAAGATTTAGGGTGGAGCAAGGAAAACCAGGAGAAAAGATCTGTGAGATAGCTTTGAAAGAGAAAGCCACACTGATTGTCCTAGGAAGTCGGGGTTCTGGCCTCATAAGGCGCACAGTTCTTGGAAGTGTCAGCAATTATGTAATTCATCATACAAAGATTCCAGTCATCTTGTGCCCCAAAGATTATCTGTGACTAATTTAACATTCTGTTAGGGTGTGGTGGGGAAATCCACATTTTCCCTTCCAGTAGCCCTCTCGATTTATTTTCCTTTCCAAGGAATTCCTAAAAAGAAGAAAACACTTTTTTCATTTTCTGATTTACATGTAAGATTTTAATGTTTATCGCCATGTGCTTATTTAGTTGGTCTATCCTGAACGTTTAAGTTCCTTCTGATGGAGTTATTTTGTATAAAGGAAATAGCTTTGATTTATAATGGAAGAAAGTAAATTTAAATTGTTACGCCCGTCCTATTTGAATTGCTATGTATACTGCTGGGGGAAAAGAACTTGCACCACAGGAAAACCTGCAACCTCCTCACAGGGACTCCCTTCTTTTCCCTAATCTGTAGGGCTTCAACAGTGTTAATCGTGAGCTGTAAAACGGGACGAAACACAATCGGAACAGGCCCACTCATATCCACCACAAACTTGATATTTTACGGTTTACAGTCAAGTCGCTCGAAAGTCACCTCGCTTGAAGTCATATCGCCCACAACCGGAGACAAGTCGCCCGAAACGTTAAGTCATTTCGCCAGAAATCACGAGTCATGTCACCCGATTTTTTATCACATGTAAAAACGTCAAAATGGTATATCTTTGGAAATCGCTGAAGGTGCCGATGGATTTAACTACCCTTTTGGGTGTATCAAACCTTCAGCGAAACATACATAACCAACATAAAAAATTTTATCTAATTCAACTTCTTGAAAACAAAGCGGATAGTCCCAAAGTTAATCTATTGTTTGCGCTATTGTTTTCTTCTAACAAAAGACTGTATGCATAATGAAGTATGGGGCTGTGCGGAAACTTTGCCCATCTGTCTACCGGGGCTTTGATCATCACTGAATGTTTGGACAGGTAAGAATCTACCAGCGGGTTGGGATCAAACCGATTCGCACTGAGTACGAAAAGTCCGTGGGTAAGAAACGAGAAATATCAGCTTTTGGAACTCTACGGTGGTCAATTACCATTATCGATTGAGTTGATAAAACCTTATTATTTGTTTATACCCCTCATCGACGAAGCATCACAATTTAAACTTACTCCCTTTAAACAGTGCAACGACCACATGATCGATTTCTGTATTGCCAAAGTCTTCATGGTGTCGTCGAAAACCAACACCTCTTGAGCGAAAAAGATTTAGGTTTCAGTCGTCATTCTTGGTGGAGCGTTTGGTTGAGTAAACCCTTTAACTCCCAGAAGTGATTGACATGCAACTTCTCCCTATAATATCCATACATTAACCAGCAAACAGGTAATGAGAATACTCAAACTTATCAGGAGAAGTTTTTATCTTGATCTAACTCTAAATTCTCGTTACTAATTTACAAGGAAGTGTAAAGCAGCTAGAGAGGAGAATTATCAATCAGATCTTGAGAGTAAAGGGTTAAAACGACCAACAGCATTAGATGGAAAACCATGATTTAATTTCGCACGAAAGTCAAGTGTCACTTAAAACAACACATTTTTCTTCATATATCAACAACTTTATTTAATATCGAGGAAGTTTCTGATAATTTCAATACAAATTTTTGGGTGTTTGTTTGAAAGTCGCAATTTCTGGGCGGTTTTCTCACCTTCTTGAAGACCGCGCAAATTTCTAACTTGTTTTCTGTGCTTGGAATTCTACAACTCATTTTGTGATGCTTGTGCCTAGATTCCTGAATTACACACCTAGAGAGAGACTGATTTGGCCGACGAAATGCTTGTTAGATCGAGAGGATGCCAAACACATTCGGGGCCTCATTACTACAGCCATCCAACAGTAGTGTGGTGACACATCTTGCGTAAAAAAGATTCCAGAACTATTATCTCTGTCAACAAACTAGTGAACTGTAGTGTTGAAGCTCTTGGGAAAGTCTGGTTTATGATAGCTCACTAAAACAGCTAAGCGTAATAAAAAAGCAGAGTTCACTTTTCTGACTATCATTATTATCGTAAACTACAGTCACCCTGTATTAAGCGATCACCAACGGGAAATGACCGCTAAATACAGGTTCCACTGATTATTATAACAAACGTTCAACAAAGCCATTTTATAGCATAATTGACCACTTAATGTACAGAGTCTCGAAAATACTTCTTTGATTTTGGAAAAGAAATATTCTTTTAAAATTCGTTGAATTTTAAATTAAATCATAAATTCTCGAAGTATTATTTTTAGTTTTAATGACTGGTCCCACTTTCAATGATCGTTCCACACAGGTGGAGGACAATTAAAACAGGCAGTTAGGACTTGATAAAGAGTGACCTCGACCGCTTAATAGAGGTGACCCTGAATAGAGGTAAAAATTGCGCTAAGTCTTGCTTTTTTTTTTTGCTTTAAGTTTATGACTTGTGGTCGTTTATTATAGGAAGAGTCCTTGCTTGCTGTTCGATTGGCGACGTCAGAGCCAGCAAGCTGTACAATCATCAATTCGACTTCTTTTTTTTTCCTTCCCTCTGCAAACAGGTCCAGTATTTGAGATGCCAGTGGTCATTTTTCATGCACTATAGTGTCGCGTGATAGGTGTAACAAACTAAAATAGATCCACGAACATTCATGTAACTATCCTTTTGGACCAACCAGCTATCTGGACGGTTTATGTTCATAAGTTTACCACAGAGATGCTGGTGTTAACTGTGATCATTTTGACGCGCACAATACAACCTAAAGGTAATTTGCTTTGTCTTGTAAAATCCGTGTTTGAAAAACCAAATTCCCTTAAGATGACAAACTTGTTTGTTAGGGTTTAAACAGTCCTTTCACTGCATGGATCTCTTGTAATTACACTTTTTCCAAACCTGAAATTTTTACATTTCAGTAACGGTGCACAAAAATTGAAGAACACTGTTCGTGTTTTCGGGACCCAAAAGCATCTCAATTCTGGGACATTCCTGGCGTTGGGAAATCAGTAAAAATCAATCTGAAAAGCAATATACATTTAAAGATCACAAGTCTCGTCTCGTGAAAAATTTGGATGAACAAAAGATGGCAATGATTTAGCCAAGCTAAAAGGAGTTTGATTTAAATGCAAGCGTAGGAAATAGTAGCTTAAAGAACAATGTACATTTAACAGATCAAGAAGAGAGATTGATTTGTGATTTTGCCTCATAAAAGTCGTCATGAATAGAAGTTAGCAATGAATGATTTTTTAAGTCGTTAGCCTTTCATCAGATTTGTCATCATTCATGCATTCATGCTAAGCTTAGGAAATGGCTTTAAAATGATCATTAAATGTAATTTTTTCGCCTTTATTGGCCGCGGTTTCTGTTACCAGTGACAATGGGAAAACCATAAATCGCGTGAAATTGCACATACAATCAAGGAAACGGAAGACCTTCGCGGGTTTCCTTTGCAAAATCAATTAACGCGCTATTTAAATCACTACCACAGTAAACTATATAACAATGGAAAGGTTATGAAATGCACTATTCGGCAATATTATTTCGTTTTAGCTTGACCGAATTATAAACCGAATGAGGCGCGAAAATTACAAATGGACGATCTTTATTTGAGCGAATTGATCGGGAATTAAATCTGACCTCACAAATAAAACCTTTGCACAATTTCAATCCTGAGAGGTTGATATTCAATATCATGTATTTTTCGATATTCCTATTTGTTCGGTCGCCTTTGTTTATCGAAATTTTACCGATGCGCGTTACGACGGAGGCCATTGCGGGAGATCCATTTTGAAAAACAGAAAACTCCAACACAGCTTTCTTTAGGTTGGTATCTTGGCAATCTTCGGGCCGAATTTCAAGGCAATCCGTAAAGTTTACGTAACCTATTTTTGTTCCCTTAAAAAAAGGCACATTCGCGCAAAAACAAAGTAGGATTGCTTTTGCTTCCAAAGTTTTATCAACAATTCACGCCTTTGGGTGATTAACTGTCAAATAATGTCAAAACTCTGAAAACTCGAAAAGCCGACTGCCAATAGAAACACAGAAGCGTCTTGCGGAGTTTCCGGAACCTCACAAAAAAAACATATTTTGCGAGTAACTATCTAACAGTTTCACCGTGACAGACCTTTAGTTCAATCCTACTGGCCAGTAATTTCGATTTCCGTTCTATTTCTTTTTTAACTTAAGCACGCTGCGGCAAAACTTGTGTTAGAAGTAAATTTTCTAACACTCGTCGTTTGATAGGTTAATTCTTCTTTATTCTCTTTCTTCACAATTAGAAAATTAGAGTCTCCGCTTATGAAGGTGACACTGCGGATGACATTTCTAAGCCGTCAATCTTGTGCAGGGGACAAAGAACGCGCCTTCACAACACAAGGGTTCTTGAACACAAGGTTTAATAATCGAGAGTTGCACACTCAGCATATTTTCTCAACAACACAACAGGATCGGAATTGGAGTCTCATCTTTGGCTAACAAGCTTCACCTCGCAAGTAAAAACCTACAAAACAAACACTTAATCACTGTTGGAACGGGATTTGGAAATACACGAGCTCCTAAGACTCACCATACGATGAGAAACTCCCGGCGACTAGCGCGTTACAAAGCACATGGTTTCTTTCTCGCTACACGACGACACTGAGACGCGCTCACTAAGCATGCTGGGAGTATAATTACGAAAATGGAATGGAACGGACCTAGGAAAACAAAATTGTTCTCTTGTTGAGGATTGGCCTCAACAAATCTTCTTGTGTCGTCATCGTACCATCTCAACTAGCGAATCACGCTTGACTACGTATTACAGTTCCCACATACTGAGTATGCACCTTCGAGTTGTTTATGCAATTAAACAATCAATTTCTACCTTAATTTTCGTATCTTTACGTTTGAGATCGGCCAGAACAGAAACGAGATCGATAATATAAAAATTACAAATAACCTTGGTTCAAAGTAATATTTATACTTGAAAGGGTATCTTAAGAGAAAATCACCTTTAAAGATTGTTACATCACAACATTTTGGTCACAAGAGTTAAAGAAGAAAGGCGCTCACAAGTACCGCCCCCCAAATTGCTTTTGGTTACGAGACATGAGGGGTATCACCTGTTTACACCTTAAATTACCGCTGGGGTCAAGAAAGTGTCGAACGCGACCTATTATCAGGGAGATTTACTCTTCCTGGACTAACAAATTAACTTAATTAGGAACATGGCTTATCACGAGTTCCATGTCAACCTCACGATCACAACGAGGAAAACGTGATTAAACTCACTAGGAGAACGTGACCAAACTCACAAGAAGAACGTGACCAAACTCAACCTTTAAGATAAGACCACCAAGAAGGAGTAAAGAGTAATCAACCTGCCCTTTTTATAATTTGCATTAAATGACTTAAAATAATATAATGTTTCCATTCCTTTTTCGACACCAATACAAGGAAACCCTCACGATATTGTAGATTAACTATAATTTTATAATTTTATCATTTAACACTTGACAACTGTCGCTCTGATCGAGTGCGAGTAGCGAGGACTGCCTAAAACAACAAGATTGCCAGAAATTCGGTGGGTCATTCGGTGAAACCAGTCAGCAGATTGTCGAAGTAAACATGTTCACGACAGGAGTAAGCTTATTATATGTTAAAGGAGAAGCGGAAAGAAACAGAACAGTGGAAGTTTTATAACAAAACACTCCGATCACAGTTGCCACAGTCATGGTCAGGAATCTTTCGACTGTTCTAAAGAATGCACGTAATTAGCATCACATCACAAAAAAATGTCACCACCTTTCACCATGAAGATGACCAAGACAAGATGAACAACTTTATACTTATTTAAAATTTCACTTTTCCCAGACTTCTTTCAACGATATAAATCTTCCCTGGCTCAGAGTGAAGTTCCTTTTCTTTCCCCTGGCCTTGAAGTAATTTATTTTTCCCGGCTGTTCCTGACCTGTGACAACCGCGCCCACAAATAACTTGCCGGAAACGAAACAATATTTCGTTTACCATGATAAAAACAAAGAAGGGCAGGTGCCATTTTTCAATTACTTAAATCGTCTTCGAAAATTTCAGATCATAGTATGGCACTAGGTATTATTCTTAAATCTTAATTTGGATCTTTTTTTGACCCTAAAAGTCCATATCTGTTTTAAAAGAAAATGAAAAACAACATTTAAAAATCGAGACGAGACGAAATCATTTTTCTGATCATTTTACTCGCGACTTGCAGTTGATGAAATATAGCATGGATACTTAATTTCTGAGTCTTAGGATCCCTAGGGTATTTAGGAAAAGACAAAACGGAAGTTGTGGAAACATTGTAATTGTCACAAACGCCATAATATTGGACCACTCTTCACGCTTCGTAGTTAATTTATTATGGCCGCGACTGCTGTTTACTCATCTCAGACCTCGTGACCAATCTATGACGTATGAAGTTAAAAATGTCTATCCAGTTCGAAAATACATTTTTACGAACGACACGCGCGCGTTTTAATATTTTACAAAAGCTTTTTTGGACACTATAATTAAAATAACAATGCCTAGTTTGAAAAAAAAATTAGTCCTCGAGTCTATAACCAAGATATAGATATTTTCCCTTTAAATCTGGTGGCTAATGATAATTTCATCGTCATGATAATTTTAGGAAACCCGTCAGTAGCCACTCTGTTCTGTTTCAACCATTTTCAACCGTGATTTTAGAAGCGTGCGTGCCAAGAGGATCGCTTAGTTTTCAAACTTATTACATCTAGTGTAAAACGAGGATGGGAAGCGAATCAAATCCGTCAATCAAACAATAAACTTTGTAAAGCTGCAAGATGTTTCAACCTGATTATTTCACCTTAAACTTTTATTCCTCTCTTAAAAACCCTCCCAGCCACAAAACTCTTTATCACATGAAAAAAATCTTAATTTCTACTTGGCGGAGTGTGACTTAAACACGAATGACATCAGAGCTCCGCAGGGGTCATCCATCATAACTAATAATGCTATTGTTAAAAACCATATATAATTTGTATACTCTCTCTTTTCTTTTGTTTCTTTGGGAAATGGGTTATTTGTCACTTACCTCAAGAAAGTTTAAAAAAGTGGAGAATGTTACGGGTTAATTCCGAAAGAAAGTTATTTTCGTAACAACCCGAATGAGAGTCAATCACCAGAGTTTCTAATGGATTATCACACTTCCCAATCATCTGGTGTTTGTTCCGATAAATCTCTTTCTATATTTATAGATAATAAAGAACTAATTTTAAACAAAAAGGTCATGGGAAAAGTTGATCCGTCGTAATGGTGCATTAATGAATTCGCAAGGTATCGAATCTACCAGAATTACCAGCGACAGTCTTAAACATTCAACTTCTATTGATATGAAAAGTTTTGAGTAAACATTTAGTAATCATATCCTCATTGACGTCAAACTTTTCTCACCCAAAATCGTTGCATATAATTTTGTTTACTTTGCTTTTCCAAAACAGGAGATTTGGGCTAAATTTCCTTGCAAAAGCCTTTCAGTTAAGTGAGAATTTTTTTAATGAGGAGTGTCAGCGCCTTCCGCTTCTCTACGTAGAAGTCCAACATATCATTTCGAAAAAAGAAACAAGTGATGTAAATGTAACTTTTACGGCGTAATTATCTCGTGTTATTAATGTCGGTGCGAGGTTCCTCTGATATAGTGTCATTTGCGGTATTATGAGGGTCTCAATCTCGATAAGAGGAACTGTGAGCAGTTCTTGATGTCTCCATTATGTTTTCATGTCTGGCCTTTTGTGACTACTTTGGTCAACGCGGCTGAATATTTCTATGGTTGATTCATGGGCCGGGACTGAAGGCCAGTGTTCGATATCAAGACCCTAAAAAGAAATTAATTTAAATCGCTGATGGTTTTCATCTTTTCTGGCTTCATCGAGACATACGGTTGCACTGTTTCGCTAGTTCATAGCTTTGAAAACTTTCGGAAAACGTTTTATGGAAAAAATTCATAATGTATACGCTGGCCAGCTACATCCATTTCCTTTTTCGGTTTTCGCGAGAAAACACAGCTTTAAAAACTGTCGGGAAACGTTTTATAGAAAAAGTTCATAATGTATAGGCTGGCCAGCTACGAGCATTTCGCGAGAATTGAAGTGGTAACATAGCTCACGTTAGCCGATCATGAGCCAACCGCATTGTGCAACACCATCCTAAACATCTTTTCTTGGCTGCGTTACTTTATATTTCGAATCTTTTTTTCACATATTTTAGTTTTATTCCCTGGTATCGCATAATTTTTTCTAGTCTCCTAAGCAATCATATTTAGCGGCTAAACTCAAATAACTTTGACTCACCGAGGTTAATAAACAGTTGACAACAGGTGTTCTTCACTCAATGAGTCCTCTCCTTGAAATAAATAATAGTTTTCTTATGCATTGTTGATTCTCCAATCTGAGCTTGAGCGGTGGACCACTTTTGAGGTTGTTTAGAATGGATTTTCAAATTTCGTGCCTATTATTTCGCTGACGTTTTCCATCCAGAAAGTTTCCTCGTCAAAATCTTTAAAGCCAGCTGTTTGTACACCATTCGCATTGCATGATTTTGGAAAAACATTAAGTTTTTGGTGCTCCTCCGGCTAAACTTATGCTGTCATCACAGGCTAACCTCTAACTGGAAGAGTATAATGATCTTTGAATGGAAATAAAAAACTAATTTTGGCAACTGTCAAATAAATCAGCTAGAATTCAAATCTATATTTCTCCTATCTAGGCCAAGCCAAGTGTTCCATGTTTGCTTAAATTACGCAATTTTTTTTTTCAGCACCGTGAAATTTTTATTATTAGAAACAGTTTAAAATTTCAATATGTTTTTTTCTTTCAGTTGACGACATGCAAATTTTAATAAATATTTTAATAGCCTTCTACGCTATTAGCACTAATGACTATTTTGAAAAATATTTTACATTAAAACTGCCTTGTGAAAAACTGGTATACAATAGAGCGAAGTGACATAAAATGCAGGAGAGCCTTTTAAGTTTTCAGATATGCAAATGTTCACCAATTTTAATTTCCATTTGTTTCCAAAACCATTATCCTTAATAACTACAGCCGGTGAGTTTTTTCCCTTAAAAGACTCTGTTTTAACAAGATGATGTGGAAAACATCACGGAAACATAAACACCTAATGGCCTTACATCCAATTCGTGCAATAAAAAGGGCAGTTTGAGAAGTGTTCTTCTTCGTCGCAGATGCAAAGTGTTGCATAACCTTTTAAAATATTTCATGCGAAGAATGCATAATTCATCCAATTTTTGCAAGTGCAATGCAGGTGGAAGGACAGAGTTTTTTCTTTGACATGAATTCGTTGCTGGGCGTCCTACTTATCAGCTTACAAATTTATCCTGGAACCAGCGGTATGTTTTATGCTTTAAATTACTCCAGTTTAAGATATATCCGTTGCTGTTTCTCCTGCAATATCACATTTGCACGTTGCAGTTTGACCCTCAGGTCAAATTCAACGCCTAACTAAAGACGCCGTTTATCACTTAGAAACGTACCACCTTCACCACGAGATAACAATTTTTTTAAGTCCTTAAAATAGAATGCTAAATGCACTTTCATCTTCTCCTGTTTTAACTATAAGCAACAATTTTTGGGAAATTAGATTACACACCACTCTGATTCCCACAAGAGCCTTGTAACATTCATATAATTTGTTATTTCCCTCAAAATAAACTCACCGGTGAGTTTTTTTATCCTCGTAGGCAGAGGCATTACACTTGTTGACACCTCTTTTAAAATAAAATTCTAACAAAGGTTTATTTTCTTTTTAGGGTTACCTAACTTTGAAGTCTTACAAAGATTATATCGAATAAGTTTATCGCTCGTGTGATACCAATAAGTGAACAAGACGAGGCGGGATGCCCAAAACTCACTCATTCTAAAAAATACAGTTAAGAATACAAAATATCGTTATGTTTAAAAATTGTGAAAAAACTTTCTCGACTCAGATAAAATCCTTAACGGATAATTTTAAGTTGGTTTCCGTCTAAGATTGTCGATGCATTTTTATTTCTAATGTTACTTATGGAGGAAGCTAATGAACATGTTTCTCTGATTTTTTCCAAGGGTTACAATATATTTCGACTTAAATAAAAGGTGTTTCGAATGTCGCCCACGTCCTTTCGTGATCTGAAAATCATTTTTCTAAAATAAATCTTTCCTGTAATGATTTACATCCTGTGCTTCAAACACGTAGCTCACTGACTCACTGGCTCACTGACTCACTGACTCACTGACTCACTGACTCACTGACTCACTGACTCACTGACTCACTGACTCACTGACTCACTGACTCACTGACTCACTGACTCACTGACTCACTGACTCACTGACTCACTGACTCACTGACTCACTGACTCACTGACTCACTGACTCACTGACTCACTGACTCACTGACTCACTGACTCACTGACTCACTGACTCACTGACTCACTGACTCACTGACTCACTGACTCACTGACTCACTGACTCACTGACTCACTGACTCACTGACTCACTGACTCACTGACTCACTGACTCACTGACTCACTGACTCACTGACTCACTGGCTCACTGGCTCACTGGTTCACTGACTCACTGACTCGAACTTGCGTTATGACTGATAGGCTGACAGAATAACAAAATAACGTAACGATTGACTGACTCAATGATAATTTTACTGACTGAGGAGTGTGCATAATTACAAACTGCCAGGCAAGATGCTTTTCTGGCTTATTTCATGACTGACTGACTAAATTGGCTATCATCTATCTTTTTATTTCAGTTTACGGACAGAGAATTTCCGAATCCTCCCGTTCTGAGAGAGTAAATAATGGCGATCGACTCGTCCTTAATTGCTCTGACAGAAACCTAGACCAGTTTCAAGGAAACGTGAATTTCACTTGGAAGAAAAACTCCGTGACTATACCGAATGACGACCCACGCTTAAATGCAGACGGGAAAGGCACCCTGCTACTTGAGCACGTACGGCAAAGGGACTCTGGACAATACACGTGTACTTTTGGTACAGCCGACGTCTTTAGCATTAGCAATATGACACTGTTTGTCATAGGTCGGTGGTTAATTAGCAGTGTTGTACATCATTCTTCATTAAGTCTAGATGTTAAAAGTATCTACCTTAAAAATACGTAAGAAAAGATGGATCTAACATTTCCATCTTTAATATTTATGGCCTGGTGGCTCTGAATTATTCTTAATCCCCTCCCTCCCCTCCCCTCCCCTCCCCTCCCCTTCCCTCCCCTTCCCTCCCCTCCCTTCCCCCCGCATCTTATTAGGAGTTAATTGACAGCCAATTTACTATTGTCTCCCCCCTTTTTATACTTATGAAGACGACTAAGTCCCATTCCTTTCCTCCCCCTAAAAACCATTTGGTCCCCCAAAATCCCTCGAACCCTCCCCCCGGGGATAAATAGTCAATGGTCCCTGAGGATGGTTGCCAAGCAACCCTTTAACCCTTAAAGAAGAGATTCAAGCGCATAAACTGTCAGAAAGACGGAATTTAAACGAATTCATATCTGAAGATAACACTTGATAAAGATGAATAGATTTCTTTGGGGAAATGCTTGAGAAATTGAAACATTTGCATCCCTTTTACATTCTGCTAGTCTGATAAATTGTTCCTTTTATAGGCAGTACATCTCCGAATAGTCCAACAACGAAAGTAATGCCCTATCGGAAGCATTCAGCACAACGGGGTACCACCTTGAATTAGGCTCGTACCCAGACCTTCCACGGCCATTCAGTTACAATTTCAGGGTAGGATCTGGGTACGAGATTAACCTTGTAAGCCATGTTAACACATTTCCTGTACATGCAGTCTCCGAGGGTAACAGAAGGCTAAAAGAGTTGCTTAAAGGAACTATATCACATGGTGCGCATCTTAAAACATTTGGCCAAACTTACTCATTGGTAATTCTTGTTGACCTTCAAATGGCATCTTGTAATGATACAACTGAACTCATGCTGTCTTTATGAATAATTCCTATGCCACAAAAGCTTAGATAGTCGTGCAGCGGACAAGACATCTTTGTTTGTTTGTTTGCTTTAAACAGGGAACGATCCATCCAACGGAGTCACATCCACGAGTAGTGTCGCAGAAACTGCCATGACAAGCCTCATAGCAAGTCATATTAGACTTGCTTACAGCGTTACGACAAAAAGCTCCACGACAAGAAGTGTAATGTTAAGTAGTGTCACGACAAGCCGTGCACAAAAACATAGCGTCACGACGAGTTATGTCACAAGTAGCAGTATCACAACAAGTCGCGTCACCACAAATAGCGTCAAGTCAAGTAATATAACGACAGGGAGTACCACGACAAATCCTGTCATAACCAGTAGCATCACGACGAGTAATGTCCGGAAAAGCAGTATCTTGGCAAGTCGCGTCATGACAAATAGTGCAGCAACATGTAGTGTCATGGCAGGTAGTGTCATGAAAAGTCGCATCATGGCAATCAGTGTCACGACAAACGATGACACGAAAAGCAGTGTCGTAAAAAGCAATGTGACCATGAGCTGCGTCACGACAAATAGTACAACGTCGGGTGGTGTCACGAGAAGTAGTGTCACGACAAGTCGCGTCATGACAATCAGTGTCAAGACAAATGGTGACACGAAAAGTAATGTCGCAAAAAATAGAGTTGCGACAAGCCCTGTAACGACAAATGGTGTCAAGAAAAGTAACGTCGCGACAATTAGTATCACGAGAAGAGGTGATACGCCGAGCAGCGTGAGCATGGTTTTGTATACTACAGCGATTGTAGCAACAAAGCAGCCATCGCCCTCCCCTCGGTTATTCACACAAACAACTACAAATTTGATTTCAAGCCTACAACTGCAGGTATTTGATTGCTATTAATCATTAAGAATTTGCTATGTATGGCATTGATTTTTTTCTTCGTAAGACTACAGCTTAGAAACATAGTTTTAGCTTGAGTTCTGGACCCAATTTATACCTAAAGAACGCTGAGTCAACCCAACCCTCATTTTCTCTTGGTCAATCTTGGTAGGAAATTCGTCACTTTTTTCATTCACGGAAACTGCTAAAATATTAACCACAACAAAGTGAAGTCGCGGGTTTGCATTCGATATTTGATTTTTTTTTTCATGTTTGCGGAGGCTTTTTTTTTCTTTGTGTACCCTATCTCTTACAAGGGCTTACGTTTGATAATGTTGTATTTCCATGTTCGTATTTTGTGCCTTACCATCCCCATCATAATAGTATCAGTTGTCTCACACTCAGGTTGAAGCTCTTTTGATCGGCGACAAACCCACCAACATTAGTACAGTCCTTACCGAACTTGTCAAACTGACAAAGCCTGGGAACGAGCTGAAAGTTAACGCAAGCGAGCTCTCTTTATCCTTGGATATACTAGAAAAACTAGTGACGTACAACTCCTTGGAGAACCACACTGCCATTACCACACCAGCCGACCAACGTAACGTCTTGGAAGTAGCCAGTAATTTACTGAATGAAGAAAATGTTGAAACGTGGTTAATGTTAGAAGAGGTAATGCTGTTGGATTTTGCTAAATCTCATAATGGTATCACTTTCGTGATTTATTGAATGACTGTCTGACCAATTGGACGACTGATCGTTTGAATGACTGACCGATAGACTGACTGACTGAAGGTTGACAGCCGCAATTACTAACTGACTGATTGAATGGCTGGCTGTCTAGGTGACTAATAGGCTGATGACTGACTGACAGACTGATTCACTGACTAACAGACTGACCGACCGACTGACTGAATGGCTGACTGCCTGAGTGACAGACTGACTGGCTGTTTAACTGATAGATGGCCTGAGTGACTGACTGACTGTCTCACAGACTGACGGCATGGGTGAGTGACCGACTGACTGACTGACTGACTGTGGAGAAAGACTCCTCGATGAAGACCCACTTTGGAATATTTCTAAATAATGTTGCTGTCCCTTTTTTTTCAATCACGTGACTTAAAATAATCAGATGATGTATCAGTAATAGCCCAGGTTAAAAATACAGAAATAGTTCAAGGAACAATATATCATACAAAGAGGACAAAGATCTCACTTAATTGCATTGCCATCAACCTATACCATGTTTTCAAAACTTACCTTCATCACCTTTCATACTTAATACATGTTCAGAATCAAGAAAACATCATCGGTGTACTACTAAAGACAATGGAAGAGTTTGGTTCTCAAGTAAGCAGTCAGCTTGGTAGATCAACTAATTCTACCTCCTTCGTCCTTTTATCAAGAAACATTGCTTTCAGAGTTGATCGCTTAAACCGGAATGAAACGGTGAGTCAGCAGCATACTTTTGGTTTGCTCTCTTTTTTCCCTCCCACTTCCTTTGACGCATTATCACTGACCGTCAAGAAATGGCTACGAGGCGGACTGTAAGAGAATCATTTCCCCTGTAAATCCAACGTGTTGTTTCCTTAACAAGCGCGTCTTGTCTTGCGCATAGAGAGCGCTTTTTGATTACGTGCCATAAACCAAAACCAAAGTAATCGCAACGGCCAATCAGAAGAGAGAAAAATACCTTTGCCAATGAGAACTCAGAGTAAAACAACCAAGCTGCCTAAAGCGCGGGAAAGAGCAGGCAACCAGGTCGTGATTGGTTTAAATTTTCATCTGATTGGTTGAGAGAGTGGTGCGTGTTTTCTGGACCAATCACCGAGCGAAAAGCAAAAAAATGCAAGCTCAGATTACTTTTGATTAAATTGATCCAACCAAACATCTTCTTTTATTTCTGGTTCCAGCTTCATGTGAATTTCGCTCAGCACGGTGCAACATTCTTTGCTCCTGGGTCAATGTTTTCAGATCCCACAGGGAGCCGTGTGTCGACCATCGTCTACAAAACACTTCATAACGTGTTTAGACTTAAGGAGAAGGGATTCAGTGAAGCTCAAAAGGAAGGGGGAAAGCTGCAGACGATTGGCTCGAGTATCATCTCAGCTACGGTTCTACCAACTCCAAAATTCCCATTGGCAAAACCAGTTAAACTGGTTTTTAAACGTAACAATCAGGTATGGGTAATATGAGCACTGAGCATTAATGAAAAAAAGGTGATAAATCAATGTCAACAGCACTGATTTAATGTGGTCCTATACACAATCGTATGACATCGTTTGCAGAGCCGTAATTTGATTGGACAGTGCGTATTCTGGGAGATTGGCCGATCGCAGCGAACGTGGCTTACACGTGGCTGTACACGTGTGGATCATGAATCAAATGCTAAAGTCACAACGTGCGAGTGCGATCATTTGACCATCTTCGCTATTTTAATGAAAAACAAGCCGGTAAGTTCATTATGTATCTCGCAATTTTTAATTCTGTATTTCTTTACACGGTATGTTTCTTCCCTTAGTCTCTGAGTTGAGGGTCTCAATAGGGTGATGGCTTTTACGGCTCACGTTTAAAACTTTTCCCTCTGGTTATTCGAGCTGGTAAACTTCATAATGTGGCATGTTACTGCTCATTATATCATCTGCAAGGAGATGCTCTGAGTTTCTTTTAACCAGGCAGAGATTGCTGATTGGCTGAAAAAGAGGGCATTTTTAGAAAGCATTTTAAAACGCTTAACTTTGCCTCAATGTAAATGGGCTGGTTTCATTGCTTTGGCGTTGTTGTGTAAAAAACAAGATTTCACTTAGCTGATCCGCGCATTTTACAGTTCATTGACGCCAACAGAACAATAAAATGGCTTCCCACGAAAGCGCATAGCAGCGTGCGTTTTTGACCTTCGTAATAAAAGAAAAGTTTGCTCTTTATATTATACACGAGTAATCGCTTGCTTCCCTAAAATTGAGGAATAATATCACTTGCTTTTATAGAGGTTTCAGAAATCGCAACTTCTGAGGCCCTATGCGATGAACTATACTAATGTTGAATAAAATGTTTTCTATTTTGTTCTATTTTTCTATTTTCATTTTAGGTGCAAGCACAACATCAACACAACCTTGAGTATATTTCCACGATAGGCTGCGCATGCTCTCTACTGTTCCTTCTGCTGACCTTTACGGTGGTTGTTTTGTGCTGGAAACAAGTAAAGAGTATTCGAGTCATAATGTTACTGAATCTTTGTGTGGCCATTGCTGCTTCTTGTTTTTTGATTATCCTGGTTGGATATGCGAAAAAAATAGAGGTGACTATAAGATATGGACCTTTATATATATTTTTACATTGAGATAGCTGCAGGTTTTTTTTACCTCCCCACTCTCTGCTCAATCATTTCTAAAAATTGTTTTCGACACAGAATTAATAACGTCAGGCTACGTCCATTATTTCGTTGGGTTCATCTGTTATTTCGCCGGTAGTCATTTATACTCTTAAATGGAGTGTGTAATTGTGGGAGCAAATAATCTCACACGTGATTGAAACATAGTGACCCGGTCAGATCTCAAACCCATATCTCTCTATCTCTCTATTCGTAGTTCACTGTGCTCACTTCCAGGCCTCCGCGTTAGGAAACTGATCTCTTTATTTTTTGTCCGTAGATGCTATGCACAGTCACTGCAGTAAGCCTCCATTATTTCCTATTGTGTGTATTTTCATGGATGCTGGGTCATGGCGTTATCCTGTATTTCCTGATCATCAAAGTTGAGACGCAAGACAATATAAAGTCAAGGATGAAATGGATCTACGCCTTTGGATGGAGTAAGAGAAATGACTTGTTTCATTAAAACTTGCGACCTCAATTGTTGCTGAGTGTCGTCGAAACAGCGGTCGATCACAAATAATTAATAACAGTCAGATATCGAGGAAGGATCATGTAAAAGGGATATCGATAGCAGCCTGTGCACGTGAATACAGTTGAAGCTTGATTATTAATTTGATTTTTTTTTTACTTCCAGTTTCCCCTCTGCCAATTGTGGCCGTGTCATTGGTATTGACTGGTGCCGATAGTTACGCAGCCAATAACTGCTGGCTGACAATAGAGTATGGGATAATTTACTGGACCTTCGTTGTCCCAGTTGCGATAATCGTGCTGGTTAGTGGTGTTTTGTTTAAATTATTTATTTTATGACTCACCAAGCATTTTCACTCACACGCGATTGGTCTAGACGCATCACTTCAGAATTAGTCCTTACTAAGACCTGGAAATATGCGGCGAGTTTCTCCAAATAATGTGCAAAGAATGTTGGAAACAAATAAAATCTTCTTTTAAATTTGAATCTAGATAATACAGCTAGGGTGTTTGTTATCGTTGCCGAAGCGTTAAAAGTCGAACGACAGAAGTCTGCTAAGTCAACATTTCTCATAAAGAATATCAGAACAGTCTGCAATCATGTAATCTTCCACCTTTCTGTCAACGCAATGTAACAGTCCCATCACAAAATCATAAATCTTTTATAAAACCCGCTTTGTTACTTATCACATAATCAGAAAGTTCAAAATATGTCAGCTATTTCATAAATTTAACAAATAATGATAACTAACAAATTATATAACATGTCTTTGTCCTTTTTTTCAGATCAACTCGATTTTGTTTTTTGTCCTGCTACATCGTATAAGCAGAGCTTCAAGGTCCAAAGAAAAGATAACACGTGCCAAGCACGTTAGGGCTTGGTTACGTCGTTCAGCAATGCTATTGCCATTAATGGGAGTCACGTGGTTGTTTGGCTTTCTGACGTTCATTTCCTCTACAGTTGTTTTTCATTACATTTTTACCATATTGAACTCGCTACAAGGATTCTTTATCTTTTTTAATGTTTGCGTCTTAGAAGATACGGTGAGCTGTAACCATCTGCTGTAATTTAAAAATGCGTGAAACTGAAATTCAATAATTAGAAGTTAGGTGAAAGTATACTTTGGTGTTTTAGGTCGTTTTAGTCAATGAAATTCTTCAAACTTTCTTCTAGTTCAGAGATTCTATAGTCAAAACATTGTGTGAGTGGAATGCTAAATGTCCTTGATTCCTGTAAAGACTAAATCTTTGGAACTGATTTCTATTGAAAAAAAAAAGTCATCAGAAAGCATACCTGTATGTTTTGCATCGTTGGAATGAATCAACTTCTTTCTACTCTCTCCATTAGTTCAGAGAATCTATGGTTATTACGTTGTGTAAGCACACCAAGGAAAACTCTGACCGGTACCTGAATAAACACGCATTAAGATCCACTCCTACACAAATACAAATTGCAGGTTGGTAATGATTTTCCTTGCCATCAAATTTAATTTTTTTCTATTCTATATGAAGAAAATTCTCGATTTTAGCTGGTTGAGAGTAAACATTTTTCCTTTGGTGGCTCGAATGCTGCTGATAACGCACTAAAGAATTTATGGTTTTCGCATTAATTTCTGTGGGAGGGGTGCGAAGGGTGGAGGAGTTTCAGTAACTTATTCCATAGGCGGCTGCCGGTAGTACTATAGGCTGCTGTACCATATGGCAAAACCCAAACAGGAGAGCATGCTCGCACTAAACATACGGCGGTGAGAGGTCTTACAGGCGGCAGTAGACCGCCAATAACCGACTCTTATTGAAACTCCTGTTAGGAAGGACTCTTTTTTTCCAGGTGCTCCACTGTATCGTTCTCCTTTTGTAACTGTTTGATTGCACCAGTGTGGTATTCACCTCTCAAGTTTTCATATCAAATGTTCATATCGTTATGCTCCTGTAACTGATGGCATCAGTGTAGTAGTTACCTAACTTGCATATTTCTCAAAGCTTCTTTCGGTTTCTTCTTTTATCTTTTCTACAAGAGGAAATTTTTCATAAAAATTGTGTAAACGGAAGTTGAAAAGAAACGAGTTTCCCTGTGCGTACGTTCTAGATTTCTAAATCTTGTAGTCTTAGGAACCCTCGGCAATAAAATAGGGTTCAGCTGGCTTTTTATTTTTCATTATAGATGCTAGCAGAGCTAAAATTTCGTTCTGGGCGTCGAGCAAATAACAAATACTGAGTTCCCGTCAGTAATCTTACTCCAAATTGATATATTCTGCGAATTACTTTTGTCTGAAGTGAGATGCAATGATTCTAACAGTGTAAGGGGTGCATTATCTGTTTTCACTCTGACCAGTTCCAGCTCCAGTATTTTCCTCCAATTAGCAATCTTGTCTCTGCGGGGTGATATTGTTAAATTGTTGTTCAATCAGTGCCTCGAAACCAGCTTTCAACCGCGTGCTCCTTTTCGCCTAATCAGTAGGAAGGATTAGAGATGTTAATCAAGGGGTCCTGTAGGTGAGGCCGCTTTGATTTCGCAAATAGCATATTCTTTGTCATCGTAGCGTTGTGACAATGATAGACATAATCGATGTCTTTGGCTCCTGATCGCATTTCTGAGACTGCCATTTTTTGTTATGTACAGGATATTGGTGTTGATATATCAGAGTCTAAATTCTCTCTCCTTAGCGTCTTCAGGGGTTAGGAATCTTTTTCCATCCATACTTGACCATTTGCGTCAACAGTTCCTTCCAGCAAGTCTCTAGTTTTCGTACACAATCTGCATTTATATACCAGGCTTGTGCTCTTCACAAGAGGGGGGATTGAGCACATGCTTGCATTACAGGATCATTTGCTCTTATCAACTGAGTTTGTAATGTAACTTGGCCACTGCTAAGAGTATAAAAGCTGACTTTTCGTGCGTTAGCGCTTCGTCACTGATCTTCCCATTTGCTGATGTTTCTGTTTCTGATTCACTTTGCAGTTTCTAAAGACAAAAAGATTAATGTTAGTCAACAAGAAGGATTTGATGACTTCGCAAACAACAAGGACTCAAAGAGACTCAAAATTAAACGGCAGAATTGGATGATAACCAGTCGTCTTTAGCAGAAGAGACGACAGATCTATCGACCAATATCTCTTTTGTCTAATTTTAATAGGATTTTTGAAAAACTTTTGTACTACCGGATGAAGGAATTTGTTGACAAAAACAACCTATTGTACTCCTCACAGTATGGCTTTCGCAAGTCACATTCCACGGAGCATGCAGTACTTGATATTGTCGAAGATATACTACGTAATATGGATAAACGGTACTTCTCATGCGGTGTCTTCATTGACCTGAAAAAGGCATTTGATACGGTCAATCATGAAATATTACTCGATAAATTGAACTTTTACGGTTTCCGTGGATTGATAAATGACTGGTTTCAATCATATTTAAAAAATAGAACACAAACAATTCAGATTGGAGAGCACTTATCAACAAAACTTATCTCTCCCTGTGGTGTCCCCCAGGGATCAGTCCTTGGACCTCTTCTATTTTTACTTTACATAAATGACATTCACCTTTGTTCTGATAAACTAAAATTTTATCTCTTTGCGGATGATACTAATATACTTTATGCTGATAAGAATCTTAAGGCGATCGAGCAAACGGTTAATGTAGAGTTGAATAACGTACATGACTGGTTAACTACAAATAGGTTGACATTGAATACAAAAAAATCAAATTTCTTAATTTTTCGTCCTCGTCAGAAAAAAATGCATTTTTCTCCACAAATAGGTATTTTAGATTGTGAGACAAACCGAAGAGTTAGTTTAGAGCAAAAAAGTTATATCAAATATCTAGGCGTTTTAATTGATCAAAATTTGTCATGGAAAAACCATGTTGACTCTGTTATCGTAAAAATAAGTAAAACAATAGGGATGATTGCAAAGCTGAGGTACTTCGTTCCCTCTACTGTCCTTGTAAATATTTACAATTCATTAATTCTACCTTATATAACTTATGGACTCCTTGCCTGGGGCAATGCGTCAAATGCTTATTTAAACAAGATTTTAGTTCTTCAAAAGCGAGTTTTGCGCCTAATCTATTTCACCGATCGAAGAGAGCATGCCATCCCTTTATTTGCCAAAGCAAAAATTCTGCCTGTTACGTTCCTATATTATGAAGCCGTAAGTAAACTTATGTTTGATGTGCACAACCAGAGGGCTCCCATTAATATTTTGAAACTATTTACTAAAACATCTCATATTCATACCTACAATACTCGATCATCCAAATCGCAGCTCTTTAGTACAAAGTACTCTAGACTTAACCTACAAAAAAAGGCTTTCTCGCGTGTTGGTGTCAAAATTTGGAAAAGATACCAAAAGAATTCAAAACGTTATCAAAACATTCCTTTAATAAACAAATAAAAACGTCTTTATTTCAGATACTAGATAATGAAGATTCTTATCTTGATGTTGAAAAGATCTCCTCTAAACTTAAGGACTGCATAATTAAAACAAATTGATCCGATTGCTTTCAGTACTAATTTATCTGCTTCTATACTTTATTGAACAACTATTGATGTATTTACCAGTTATGCTTCTCTTTATAATTTAACAATATCTAACTATTTAGTTTTTAATTTTCTTTATATATTGTAAATGTTTGTTGACGATTGACCCGCCTCGAATAGCAAATTTGCTATCTGCGGGTCAACATAATCTAAATTATTTTGTAAAAAAAAGAAAAATAAAGTGTGTGTTAAACTTGAATTTGTGGCAATCAGAGCTTCCTTTTCCCAGAAAGACATTTTTGTATAATTTGAAATATGATGGCAATATCGTATTTTCTGGTGATTTGATCAATACACTTTACCCAAATGATTTAAAAATAAACCCAAGAATAAGACTGAGAAACAAGGTTTTTATTATCATTTCGTTTTTTTCGTCACTTTAAAGAAACTTTTATCAAGCTACCCCATGTTACATAGTAAATGCGATTCTATACGAGCCCCCTGCTTGGTCAAAAACCTATCGTTTATGCACCCACAAAACATTGAAGTTTCTTTTACAAAAGCACCGATTTGTGATTTACAAACTTCGCTCGTGTTCTCCCAACATCTCGCGCGCGCTATTACGCCAGTAAACCGATAAACAGTGCGGTCTATAGCTTGATTAAGCGGAAGCAATGTTTCAAGTAACCAACAACTAAAATACTGATTTATTGCCTTTTATAATTGTTTTAAGACGAACTCAGTGTATTCAGCAGGCCCGTCACTGATCAAGTGCATACAAACTGAAGTACTGGTTTTGTCGCCTCTTAATAACAGTAGAACACTGAAAACATATGATTCAGCAAACATTTCTGGCAAGTGAGCGCGGCCATTTAAATTGAAACCTGTAATAGAGGGCCCTGAACAGGTTTTTCAGAGAATTCTACTACTTTGAGAACAGATGGGTGTGCAGTTTGGAGAGCATGTTCAGTTTAGGCAGACAATTATAAGAACCTTTATTTCTATCGGTTAATAGTTACCTATTCAATAGATCCAGGCGTGTCAATAAGTATACGAAACAACAGATTGAACCACAATAAGCAAAAAGCGCTTACTGTATTATTTTCATATTTGAAATAAAATTTCATTTGCCAAACCTCCACGTCAGTGTACAGCAGCAAATGACATATAAGCTCTCAGTCAGAGAGCGGGCGACAAAAAGCTGGCTGCAGTTGTCAGGGAAATGGCGGTTATGAAGGGAGAATTCCCTTTCGTCATTTTTTTGATGGAGCCCGGAGTTTTCTCAAGCTAACTGATTAACCCCCCCCAAAAAATGAAAAGCTTTCAACAGGTAATAGAGTATTCGCGTGAGTTTACAGACCCTGACGCAAACTGGTTCGCCGGGCAAATATAGAAAAGATCTGAGAGCTGGAAATTACTGCTTTACACTTTCAGATAATTGAAACTTGATGCTGATGTTCCTTGCTACTCAAGACTATAGACTAATCATTTTGTTAATGGCATATGGCATGTGACACATGACAAGCTTTCACATGAAGTTAAGGCTTAGTTTGTTTCATCAAAAAAACCCTCAAAGATTCAGAACTTTTAAGTGAACGAAGAGGAATAATGATTCTTTGCTAATTATTTATGCATGTGTCATACCTAATTGACACCCCCGAGGTTTGAAAGAAATCGCTCTCTTTCTCCGAAGAACAGCGAAAGTTAGAATGTGAAAGCTATACTTAAAGCTAAAAGGGCATTAATCAATTTGACAAAGGTGGTCTTCTGGGATATTTCCTTTTTGACCTAACTCATCGACAGATGCACTTCCAGATGAAGTTTAAGACGTCTTAGGAGCATCAAGTGTTTGATTTAATGTGACAGGTAGGTTCAATATTTTATCAAAAGAGCCTCTTTATTTACAGAATGAGCATATGTTTTTATTTCGATAATGCATCCTGTCCTTCAGACAGCTTAAAAGAGTTAGGATAACGCGTGGAAATTCTCACACTTCGAAGATGCAGATTTTAGCACTGTTCATGCTAGTATCCACACTGCAACATCAAGGTAATTTGTTTCATTCACTGTTAGCATAGTTGAGTTCGTACTGATTTAGCTTTGTGGAAAGGCCACTAAATATGATTTATTCTATATTTTTTGTCAAGGGTTAAATATAAATAGCTTTTAGAGGCCAGGGAGTAGTACAGAATAAAGATTCTCGGGAGTTCTAGTTTGCAGATCGGCAAGTTTTTAATTTTGTAGGTGGAAATATTTGCGTTTCGAGTGGACTTAAATTTCTGCTGCAATAAAACTTCGGCGATGATCTGGTCTGAAGCAAGACATAAACTATGATGTCAACTTGCTATTTTTAAGTTTTCTCCCATATCGAGTTACTTACGAGGCTGCAAGACGTTCAATGAACGCAACTGGAAATTCCAGGTTAATTCATCCGTTTACAAAGAACACGAGTTAACGGTTAACTGGAGCAGGGAGTTTTTTTTACTGAGGACTGACTATGAGTCAGTAGAAACTGTTGCAGCGCTTTGTTTTGCGTTTTGTTTTTTCGGGCGGGGACTTATTTTGTGGAAAGTATCTGTTCATTTATATGTATATATCTAGCTGTCAACCTATATCTATCACAAATAAACAGTTTCCATTCGCTTTGATTAAGGGCTAACGCTCGAAACGTCAGCTTTGAAATTCTTTACGATGGCCAATTTACGTTATCAACTCAGTTGATAACACCAAATTATCTTGTTATAATCTCCCACCGACGCAAAACTTCTCTCTAGAAACTTACCCCCTCTGTTACAAAGAAATATCAACAAAAACTGAAACCCTCAAAAATTGCGACGGCCAATTTACGGTATCAACTCAGTTGATAATACCAAATTACCTAATTTCCATTTTAATCAAAAACCGGCCCGAAGATTGATTAATATCAATTCGTCTTTCTTTTAGAGGAGAAGAATTGATAGAAAGTTGGCCAAGTAACGTTAGGAATCGTCATGTTAGCATATTTACGATTTTCCAGATGAATTTTATTGGTGCATGAATGAAGATTGAAGATAAAGAAAGAAAAGAAATATGACAATCGAAAGAGGAAAGTTCTTGGGAGATTTCAAAACTGTTCTACGCCGATTGCATCGAATTCTACACCTTATATCCAAACAAAGTTTATAAAACTCGGATTTCGTTTTAGGTATCAGTAAATACAAAGCAAAGCCGTTTATTTTTTAGAGACAAAATCCGAATTTGCATTTTAACTTAAAGAATTAGTTTCCGATTTCAGTTGGACTTACGCAGTTCTGACAACCCGGAACATTTTTAGTCCGAGATCACACTCGAATTTAAGACAAGCGATGATTATTTGAAAAGATAATTGTATAAAAAAAAATATGATTCAATTACCGGTGAGTTAGAAGAGCTTGCCCCGCAGCGCAAATGCGATTGGCCCAAAATCATCGCCGAACGCCCTTAATGTTTTGTTGACCGGAAAGTTCTTCTAACTGCCAAGAAACTTGCCGTGGGGCTAATTTAAAAATTAGAAATATTATCATCGCTTTTCATAACACTTCCGGACGATTTTAAGGACCACAAAGGGGGAATATTTGGTAAAAAAGAACTTGTCGCAATGCAAGACCGTGGAGATTCAAGAAAAATTATGACACATTAATGTAGCTTCTACTTTCGCATGGATGAAATAGGTCGTTGTATAGATCTGGTTATCACCTCTTCCACAGTTAGGGAGATTATAAATGCATCAACAGTTAACGGGGCATATATAAAATAAAATATTTTCCTTTTAAAAACCCGGACTGGTGGGAGGCAAACCTGTTGTTTTATTTGCAAATCGAACTCAGGACGGGCAGGAAAAATTTAACCGAGTGATAGGTTCTAACGGTGCTTAGATATCTTCTTGGTCAGTTTTTGTGGGTTAAAACTTTTTCATTGTAAATAACCGAATTCTATAGTTTTAACTGGCTTTTAACGAAAACACAATAGCTTGTTAAGGTGAGCTTGCTACGCGTTTTACCAAACGGGGTCAATTTTAGGTCTGCTCCAAAAAAAAACGAGAATCCCTGTCTTATATCTAGTGTGTTTCAGACGGGTTTGGGGAAACGATCTCTGCTAACACGAATCGGCCTCGAAGCAAAGCAAATCCTTTGGAAATCATCATATAGTCGTTAATCTGTTTCTTACACAACTTCACATGAGAAAACAGTAGAGAACTGGAGATTCTTCAAATGTGAACAATAAATCAAGACGCGCGACGTAACCAGGTAATTCACTAAAAGTTCGCTTGAAACCATCTAAAATACAAATAACCTACTAAAAAAACGACGTTCGATTGTTGCAGTTTTAGGATACTCGCCCCATCGTTTTTACGTGCATCTCGTCGTAAACCTTGGCGATCGAGTGGTCCTTTGGTGTACTGACCAAGATTTGAGTGAGCTTCAAGGGAGTGTTATCCTAACCTGGGAGAAAAGCCACAAGACCATACCAGCAGATGATCCACGACTGAATACGATAGCAAATGGCACTTTAGAACTCAACAATGTACAAAGAGAGGACGGGGGGATCTACCGTTGCACTGTCAAAGCGGGAGAGTTTCAAAGTATAAACACCACGTACCTTTTCGTCAGAGGTAGGCTTTCGTGGTGCTTTATTGTACAGTGAAGCCTGAATTTGGTGGAGCACTTCTTCCCCTCCCCTCCCCCTCCCCTTCCCCTCCCATCCCCTTCCCCTTCCCCCCTGTTTTCAATCCGACCAGACCTTTTCTTTAACGTCTTAACTTATTCTATTAACACAACTATGGTTTATAGTAAATGAACGACATGAAATTGTTTTCTCTCACGACAGACACTTACAAACATCCCAACCCCACTTCCAATAAGATGTCTCCTCTACAAACACAGGTATGAGTTTTTATGAAGATATGAAGTCTTCTCAGTGATGCCAAAGAACACAGTTGAAATGAAAGAACGCTTATGTCGTCTTAAAAAAAAAGAAACAACGACTACATTCTTGGCTTTGAACATTTAAGGATTTCATATAACATTTCGAAGGTTGACGGTGAAACATGAAATTCTAGAAAAAATATTATCTGAGGCCGGGGAGGCGAAAGTGACCAAAAACTCAACCAACTTGGAGGAGAAAACTCCCTGTTAATGGTTCGAAGCAACACATAAAGACAAATTATTGACTACAGTGGGTCACGATCCCACAACCCTAGAGTTCAAACAAAAAGAAAGCTTAACCTTTAACTCCAAAGAGTGACCAAGACAGAATTTCTCCTTACAATATCAATACAATATCAAGTGGACAAGTGTAGAGAGTAAAGAAAAATTATCAATTTGGGGATTACTAGTTGATCCAGTATTAAATTCTCCGACTTAACATCATAATAATTGTATGGCAGACGGTCAGGAGAATTACTAATGAGACCTTGGGAGTGAAAGTAACGTGACTTTGAATATATTAGAAAGTTGCTCGGTTGAACGGTTTATTTGAATGGCGTGACACTTGAAAGTCACGTGACTGAATATATCAGAAAGTTGCTCGGAAGGTATTCATTGGGAAGTTTTTCTTTCGTTTGTAAGCCGGTTTTTTTTGTATATTTTCCCTTATACTCTCAATTGGAGAGTGGTCAATTACTGTGGTAGTTAAAACACTTCATATTTTAACTTAACAATACACTGGACGCTTCACTTGCTGAGTACATTTCTCACCAGATTGAGGCCATGTTGAGTGGTAACCACTCCATCGACGTAACCACGGTCATTACACAATTTGTCACCTTGACAAGGCCTGGAAACGAGCAAAGACTCAACGCAAAAGAACTGTCTAAATCCGTGGACATACTTGAACTACTGGTAACATACAATTCCCTGCAGAACAACGGGGCTTTTACCAAACCCGCTGACCGACGGAACATCTTGGTGGCAGGGAGCAATTTACTGGACGAAGAGAATACTCAAACATGGCTACAATTACAAAGGGTATTGAGACTAAAGATAGATGATGTTACTTTTAGTTGTCTAGGCAAGCTCCTACGCCCTGTTTAAATGTTTATCCGTCTTTTATCGACAAAGTTTTGTTGCCTCGATTTGAATTTAGGTGTGACGTCACCGATGGCGTCAGAGTTTCCTTTCTATCAACATGGATATCTGATTTTTTCTCTCTAGAATCACGAAAACGTCACCGATGTTCTTTTAGAAACAATGGATGAGTTTGCCTCTCAAATAAGCAGTCAGCTGGGCAGTTCAATCAATTCCACTTCATTTGTCCTCTCATCAAGAAACATCGGCATCAGAGTCGATCGAGTTGACACAATCCAAACGGTTAGTCTCCCAAGTCTCACTCATAGAGCGTTACTATTATTGGGACATGACCAACCAGACCGGTTGATATTTAGCTACACAGGAAATTTCAATTAGCACCCAAAATGTCAAAAAGCATCCTTTACTTCGCAATCTTGCACATAAGAAAACATAACAATTTTCTCGCGTGATTTGAATTGTAACGTTTCGGTCCCTTTTCTTTCTTCCCTCTTTTTTCGTCTCCATAAGCTCCGCTGACAATTTTCTTTCTTCCATCTCGTGGTTGCACTCTCTAAATGCACTAATCCAAAAGAATAAGATTTGTAGTGTCTCACTCCTCTCCCAGAGGAGTTTATCCGTAAGCCTAGATTTCGAGTACTAGGGCCCAGTTTTCCGGAGCCGGGGACCGCAAGGGCTGATCATGCAACACAGAATAACCTTGAAACTTCACGCGATGATTGATTGCATGCATAATAGCGTCCAAAATTAACACCATTTCCTTTTCAGCAACTCGGTTAAGTGAGTAAACTCACTTGACTTTCGACTTATTTCTCAGCTCGCCGTCGATTTCTCTCAATATGGGGCATCCGTCCTGTTTCCTGGTTCAGTGTTCGCCAATAGTTCCACAAACATAGTAGCAGTCGTTGCCTACAATTCACTGCACAATTTTTTCAGACTTGAAAGAGAGGCATCCGATAATGAACAGGAAAAAAGGCCAGAGACCTCGAGAATCATTTCCGCTAAAATCATCCCTCGTCCAACGAGTCCTCTGAGAGTACCATTCAAACTGGTTTTTGATCACAACAACAAGGTGTAAGAAAGTTATATCAGTTAGTTAGTCCATGTTGTTAACAGTTGTTGTCAACGTGATGTTGCCTGTGCAGTCCTTTGATTGGATTGTAACAAACTCTGTTGTTTTTGAACAATATATTTTACTTGTAATCACTTCTTTAATTTAATTGTGAGCACATTCCTTTACAGTAATTTAGACCCCACAAAAATTTCAAGTTTCTCGGAGGTACGGTTCAGAAAAAGCGTCCAAGCTTGAATTTTGCAGGCATCTTTTCCTGCAAGTTCTTTTCAAGTGGTTCACTTGCGAGGATTATTTTCTTATTTTACGTTATGTTTCTTCGTCTACTTCACTTTTATCCCTCAATGGCAATCGGAGAAACACTGACCTCTTTGAAATAAATCAAAAGCCAGTCAAACCATTATTGGTTGTAAACTAGGGAAAAAAACATTTAAGCTGCATTATTGTATTTCTTAACAGCGGTTGTTCGAAGAAAGGATAAAGCGTTCCACCTTGTAAATCTCCGTTAGCAAAACAATACACTATCCACAAGATAGCAATTTATGCGTCCTTAATAGACATTTCACGCTTCCAAAAAACCCAGTGTGAGGTTTTCTTAACTATCGACAATTTTGTGGTTTAGTATACGATCGTATTACCTTGTTTTTACCGTGCAGGGCGGTGATTTGATTGGACAATGCGTCTTCTGGGAGATCGGCCAGTCGCACCGAACGTGGCAAACACGTGGATGCGTGCGCGTGGATCATGAGTCAAACGCGCGTTCAACCACGTGTGAATGTGACCACCTGACGATTTTTTCAGTTTTGTTGAACAACGAGCCGGTAAGAAGTACTGAAATTCCATTTTGTCATTTCTTTCTATCTCGGACAAAATTACATTGCCTCATACTTCTTTATATTGCCAAGACATACGAGATAAAAAGGCTTTTCTTTCTTTAAAAGGAAAACGCTCCAGTCATTTTTTTAGACCCCAAGAAAATCTATGTTTTAGGTCACAAAATATTTTTTGGATTTTATCGGGCATAACAGGACTTTTCACTTTCGTTTTTTAGATAGATGGCGGTGAGCAGCATCAACCTTACTTAGGGTATATTTCCACAACAGGCTGCGCGTGCTCTCTGCTGTTTCTTCTGCTGACCTTTGCCGTGATCATATTGTACTGGAAACGAGTAAAGAGCGCCCGCACTATAATTTTATTGAACCTGTGTGTAGCTATTGCTGCCTCCTGTCTTTTTATCATCCTAGCTGATCACGCACGAAGGCCTAAGGTAACAAACTGGAACCTACTTCCTAGTGACATTCATCAAGGATACTGTGCAATTATGATGGATTAGTGATAATAAGCTGTACACGCATTTTTATTGGATCTTACTTATGTTCTATTGGAAGACAAACACGTTGTTTACATCACCGTAACAAAATTTTGCTAGTTATTATATAAAACGAATAGATTCCTTGTTGCCGTGGGTCCGTACAGTAATTGTTTACAGAAGATTTTAAAATGTGCATGAAATGAAAATTTGCATGAAAAGAACATCTTTCTTTTTCTCCAAACTTTCCACCTGATTCAGATCCAAATGAACGAGCACTGCCGCAGGTAATTACTGTTAAATGGCTTGGCTTCCATGTAATTCTGATCACTCTGGTCTCACCAAATAATATCCACTTAATCGAGAGGCGGTGACCACATGCACACCAGACAAAACAATCAGCAAAGCCCTGATCGTCTGAGTAGAAACCAGTACAACCAACGCACCGGCAATAAATTTAAGAGGAGTTTAATTTCCTGACAACTCGACCGAACTCTTCTATTTACGCGCCATTGCCAGTGGTTTCTAAGTAAAGTATTACGAACATAATACATCAAGAACGGAACCACTACTTACAAAACTGGAAGTAACATAGGAAATACTGATAACATAAGTAATCATAACCATTACAATTTCCTCAAATGTGGTTGGTGCATCAGCTGCTTTATATTTCCCCTAATCACTCTGGACAGTTGAAATCGGACAGTGTAATCAAACAGTCGGCTGTCATCGGATACTTGTAGTGAGACAGTTGAAGCAGCCAATCATACTAAGTCCACTCAGCTAAATCCACCAATCACAGAGTTGATCACAATAACCATAGCAACAACCACTTACCCTGAAAAGAAAACTAGAAAATTTCCAAATTTTTGTCGTAGACATTGTCCCTACTGGAGATGTTTGTCCTACATGTATGTTTTTTTTCGGAAATTGTAATTGTTGTGATAAAGTGGTAACAGGACTTCGTATCGTTCAATTCTGTCTGTAATCATACTCGTAATTGACAAATCGGACTCCCGCTTCGCAGTTGTCCGATTTTGTTAATCACTCGTACGATTACAGACCGAATTGGACTCCACTCTGTCCTATTACCAATATAAATACGGGACACTCGACGAAAGAGAAATTTACCTGAAGATTTTGGGATACGGCTGACATAAGAACGTACTTGCGATTAAATTTCAACTCGAGCTCACACCCTTTTTATTTTCATGATCCACGCTCAAGTTAAACTTATATGAATAACCGCACGGACTGGGGCTAGGAGGGGGATTGGTTTCTACACCCAGGTTGTGCTCAATTCTGAATTTTTGCTCGCTAGATCGTGCGGCCCACTTTGTGCGGTCGGGAAATTCCACATCATTTGAAAACCAGACCTAATGATGCTTTCTCGCTTTAGGTATTATGCACCATCACGGCCACATTTCTCCATTACTTCCTGTTGTCTGTGTTTTCGTGGATGCTGTGTCATGGAGTTATCTTGTACTTCCTAATCATAAAAGTGGAAACTCGAGAAACTCTTGAACCAAAGATGAAATGGCTCTACGCATTAGGATGGGGTAGGAGAAAATAAATGTCATTCCACTACTTGTAACTACGGTTAAGTGTCGCCTCACTTTTTCCAAATTTTATTATTGTTCCAGGCTCCCCTCTATCAATAGTCGCTGTTTCTCTCATAGTTACTGGTACTGAAGTTAACGCAGCGAATAATTGCTGGCTGACTACGAAGCATGGAGTCATTTATTGGGCGTTTGCCGCTCCAGTCGCAACAGTTATAACTGTGAGTACACTCTTTCGATTAATGGCCGCCAGGTACGCGGTCAATTTGTTTGGACGCGAACTAGAAAATATTGGTCAGATATGAACATGGTGAAGTAGAAACTTATTTTCAAACCTAGAGGAATAATGTAAAACGACAAACTATCTCTTCTGAAATGAATAGTGTATTATTATTGATTGAGTTAGGTCGGACTTGATAGGAAATATATAGGGGTCCTTACGGTTCATCTGATGATGTTTCTTGTAAAGTCCCAGTCCAAAGCTAAATAATGACAATAGTAACACTATAAAAATAACACTCATAGCACCCACAACCATTAGCTCATAGCGCTTTACAACACTTTGCTGGGGACTTTGTCCAGGTTGCATTGACCATGGCCTCCATTTCGTAATCAAGACCAGAATACCACGCGGCAGTTCGAAGCTCTACAACCTAAGCTACGTAGGCAGGGAAAATTCTGGTTGAAAAAAATTAAATTGAGAGATGGGATAATGGAAGATATTTTCAAGGAAAGTTTAGCAGCGAGCGTCGACGAAAGTGTTCGAGCCAATTTTCTTGACTCCCTCTCAATTAAACCCAACGCATCCATGCCAGTTCTTAAGTATATTTTCTTCCCAAATAGGCTTTTTGCATTTGTGTTCACTGAAGTATGTGCTGTTTGTTAGTGTTATCTTTGGCTGAAAAAAATGTCTCCCTGATTTAACCACGACATTAATGATCTTGCTTACCTTTTTTTATTGAGATTTTAAAATCAAAAAAAGAAATTTATTCGATAAAACAAATATCTTATATTCCTTGCTATGTTTTTTCCCTTTTTCAGATCAATTCAATCTTGTTAATTTTCTTGCTGCGCCAAATAAACAGAGCTGCACAATTTAAAGCCAGCATGTCACGTGCCAGGCCATGCGCCAAGCAGGTGAAGGCCTGGTTACGACGAACTGCAATGCTGCTGCCAGTCCTGGGAGTCACGTGGTTATTTGGCTTTTTGACGTTCATTTCCTCTACAGTTGTGTTTCATTATCTGTTCACCATCTTGAACTCACTTCAGGGATTTTTCATATTCGTCACTTTTTGCATTCTAGATGATGCAGTAAGTCTTTTGTGATTGTTTTAAGTGGTATATTTTTGGTTTTTTCTTGGGTGCTAAATTTAACAAGTTGTTCTTAATTCTTGTCGTATTAAACTCTTAATTTGTTTGCTATTTTATAAATCTGCTTAAGATATATGCCTCTACATTAGATATCTTAAGGGAAGATTTAAAATCATCTTGACTGACCGCATGGAATAACGAATACGTCTTTTTCCTGTAGAGGTGCAGGGAAACTGTTGTCCCCAGCAACTACAAAGTTATCGGTTCACAGAAGGGAGAACTTTGTTTCGGTGGGGGTAGAGTGGGGTACAAATCCTTCGAAACATTTCTCCCTTTCCTCTTATTCAGTGTTGGTAACGAGAAATTTGGACCACCTTTGTATCTTTGGGAGATGTCCTTTTTTACTTGTGGATATACGAAGCATATGATGGAGTTATATTGGGAGTCCATTTGTAAATTTCGTGGCGTTAGCGCCCCCTTATGAGTCTAAGGAGAGAATGCATCTCATCAAAGATACCAAACCGATTGTTAATCTCTTCTTCCAGGTTAAGGAGACCTTAATTGGTACATTATGTAAGCGGAACGCCGTGTCGTCTAAAGAACAGTCAACGTTGAACTCCAAGAACGCTGTGCGAAGCATCTCTGTCACACGAATTCAAACAGGTGACGAAGTATAAGAATGCATTTTAATTTAGTATTGATTGCACTGAAGACCAAAAAAAAATCACAATGGCCAATCAAAACGAGGCAAGTATGGCAAGGGACACGGTCAAGAAGAATTCAAGGTAAAACTAAGAAAATTTCCTGAAGCGCGAGAAAATGCACGTGAACAGGTCGCGATTCGCGGTTTATCTGATTGGTCTATTAAAAGGGTGACGCGAGTCGTCTGGAGCTAATCACAGAGCGAAAGAAAACATTGACAAAGCTGAAACTAAAATTTTGAAGAGTTTCAGATAAATTGCCGTTTTGTGCGTAAATGGAACAGAGTAAAAATAATTTTCAAACACCTAAATTCAATTTTTTTAGTTCACAAACATGTTTCAGTCGACACTCCTGTGTCGTCTTCAGTTAAAAGTGTTTGTTGTACAACTTAATTTAACTCAACAGTTGCGTCCCAACGATTTCGTTCGCTAAACGACGTCACAAAGAAACTTCATGGCGCACTACATATGATCGACATCATCATCAAGACTAACGACGTCAGAAATATTTACAACGTCATGAACTTAACGACGTCATAATTACTGTTTTTATAAGGGTCATTGATGACAGTTTATAGGATCAACAATACACGGGTTCGTTTCCATGGAGACCATAAGAGACTCTTTTCCCATCCCTTTTTTTTTTCCAGCGTATTTCAAATTTAATATTCTGCACGTAATTTTGTGACGTAACTGATATTGGGCAACCATTAAGAAAAATTCAAGTTGAACACGAAGATTTGCCACTGAAGATAACGTAGATATGTCGGAACATTCGTTTGGTCGCATTTTTGGAATTACACTTCTGCACAGGACACTCGTGACAGTGCTGATCCTGGCATTTTCCAAACCGGGCGACATACATTGTTTCATGATATAGCCGAGTAATCTAGGAGATCTGTTGTTCAATTTCTCGCAGGGTTTCAGGACTCAGATTTTTTTTTCTTATGCGCCTGCGAAAATTTTTAACATATTCCTTTATTACTGAAACTTTTTTTCATTAAGGCCTGCGAAGATCGCTATAGTTAAAATTTTTTTCTGTTTTTGTGTTACACCAGTTTATTGGTTGACTTCATCGTCTTTTTGTTTCCATATTCCATTATTTTTTACAGTTCAAAATGCAAGAACTACAGCTGCAAATCAACACGGAGGAACATACAACTTTTCCAGCGATACTGAGCAATCGAAAGTATCAGGACCAAAAATGCAGACATGGATTGTAGCTGATATAAAATGAGATGACTGATTCTGTGAGAGAGAAATTTAAAGAGGCCCTGCTATCAAGGTTGCCTATGGCGTTACCCCGTCGTTTGATCACGGCAGCCGTTTTAGTCTTAGATCCTGATAATAGGAGAAAATGAGTGAGAATGATTTTTTCCCCTACGATCATGATATTAGTACTTTTTTGGAACATTTTTTTAACATAATTTTTGTTATTATGTATTCTTAGAGCTACGAGGCTGGCTAAAACAATCAAATACTGAAATATTAGACTAGGTGACTGTAGAGTAAGGGGCCACTAAGCCCGACAAGACCTAAGGGTAAAATGTTTGTTCCTACTCTACGCCCAGCCACTCTTATGCAGATAGGTTCGGCCCACGAGTCAGGACAAAGGAGCAAAACAAAATACAGCAGAAGCGTGTGAACACTGAGAACAATGTTCGCGCGCGGCAAAAGGCACTGGGAACGAGGCAAGCGCGCGCCGAGATGTACTCATTATGACCGCACAATCATAATCCTAAGATTAACATGTCCGACGAGTTCAGTCATCAAACTTACAGTGGCTCACTTTTACATAAGATCACCTCATAATTGCAGGCTCCTGGGAAGTGAGGGCACCAAGTGAACTGAAATGGCAAGTTTACAATAACTGTGTTTACCTACTTCTTCCCTTTAGTCTTGAAAATTAGATACATCATTGGTAAGGCGATTGTCAATTGCTTGTTTCCTTTGTTTATTTTCTTCCTGCTACGACGCCCTCTTCCTCAGCTTTATCTTATGAAAGCCAGCGTTTTCGTATTTTTAAAGTAACCACACGGATGAAATTTTCCTAAGGTGCTGACAAGCAGAATTTGTTTAACAATCTAGAGTTTCTATCGTTGGTGATCATTTTCTTTCTTCTCGTGACCTCTATGTGTGATTTTGTGGGGTGATATTGTAAGGAGAAATTAGATGCTGGTCACTCTCGGGGGTTAAGGGTTAAATAATAGTATAAACTACATATCAACCACTTCAGCGAGTTTGACACGTCAATCAGTGCAGACCAAAAATACACGGTACCATATGTAGAATTTTATTAGTGGCTTATTGTACCGTCATTTGCTCTCTAATTGTACTACATTAATAACTATTTCTCTACGTATTACTCATGATCTGTTTTAATTTCATTCAACTTCCCAATCCTGCAGTGAAATAACTCTAGCCTTGGTGGCAATTATTGTTGACATCACTCGCCAAGCTTCTCTAGAGCAGCTAACTCAGTTATTCATCTGCCCTCCCATGAAGGTTGCCTTCCTAAATGCATACTCATCAGAGTGGAGCGAAACTCACAAATCCCTGACGGTGCGAAAAAAAAAGCACAACTGACAAAATGAAACATGAAAAGAATCGTAAGGAAAAAAAGATATCTTTCTGGAAGCTGAAACCTTAAGGACAAAAAAGAAATTGGGCATGTAGAGCAACAAGTTACGACGGAAATAAAACTAGTTCAGTAACATTAAATTTCACTACTGAAGTTCCAGACTAAAGGCTAGGGTCCACGTAACATAAAAAGGGAACTGCCTTTTGGAATGAAAGCCTCGGTGGTTTAAAAAACATGGACAATAATAATTGAACTAGACTTGAAAAAAAAAAAAAATTACAAACTAACAAAACTACAGGAAAAAAAATTTGGTGTGAGTTTCTCCTCTCTTATCAAGTACTCGCCCTCTTCCCATCAAATTTACTTCCTAACATTAACTCATATCAAGAAATCAAGCGTTATATCACCTGATTGATAGAATAAACGTACTACTCACTATCCTACGCTACATCGTACGAAAATCAGGCTCAGTGATTCGGCACCGCTTGGAAAATTGTAAATAGACCAGCATGTGTTGGTTTTTTTAATGGAACTTGAATTTGTCACGCGAAATAAAGCTTTTATACTTCCCAATTCCGATCTTATCTCTGGTGAATTTTATCGCCGATTTCCTTCAGCAATATCAGAATAATCGTCCTATAAACAAAGTAAATTTGACACCAGAATCGATCAACCCTTGCAATCTCGAAGAACAAGAGGGTCTCAGAAGGCTCGAAAAAATCTTTCAATTTAACTTTTCTTTCAGCAACTGACTAAGAAACTAACCGCTTTTGTTGCCCTCTGTCGAGTGATCCGGGCTACATTGACAGCGAATTTAAGATCCGTACGTGTTTAACCTGGGCTGCTAGCGTCGAGTTCTTCGTAATTAGGATCTACACTCGATTTCCTTGAGCCCTCCTTTTCACCTCTTGTTCAGAATCAAGGAAGCTCCAAGCGGATTAAGATAAGATATGATTCGTTCGTTCGTTCAACTGTACACGAAATGACAGGGTACCTTGAAGTGAAAATATACAGTGCTTTGATGAACGATACATTGTGTAAAATTGTACACAATATTGTGCTAGAGTGTTGTCCGTCATTTCTCTCACGACAGGATTGGATTTCAAATCATATTCTATGAATACTTTCAGTTTGCCTACACCTTTAAATTCATCGCTTACACTCCGACAGAAAGCTTCAAACGACCGTCATTTTAACAGAATAAAGATCTCAACAGTTACAGGCCTCAAAAATTTTTAATTTCACTTTTAACTCGGACAAGAGCACTCGCACAATATCCCTGCAGTATGTGGCAACATGTGTGGCAGAATAGTTTTAGTATTTACACCAGCTATCTGACAGGCAATTTTAGTTCCATATAATAATAACCAACAACGAGCCTTGTGTTTGTCTATAAATATCTGAGTTTCTCTAACAAAAATATAAACTAAAATTTTTCTTTCTTTTTCTTTCTCTCTCTCTCTCTCTCTCTCTCTCTCTTTCTGTTCTTGAAACGACTTAAAATGGATATGGAAATAAGACAATAAAATAGCAAACAGGACGCAAGTACGAATAAATTTATAATATTGAAATACGTTTTGTTTGACTCTTGGAAATTCTTCTTAAAATTCTGTAAAACCATGATCTTGAGCAATGCAAAAGCACTTTTTTACAAAACAGATCATAAAGCTAGTAATAATCAGACAAAATAATAAGCTGACATAGCTGTTTTTTTTACTGTAAACAGCTTCAATTTGATTCCAACATACTACTACCGATTCGCCCCAAGATGACAAAAAAAAGACCTGATCACATTAACCTACAGGAAACATTCTACGTGTACATATGACATAACATCAGCAAAGAAGAACATAACATTACCAATAAAGTTTAAAAACTGTAAACCACTGAAATATTTCTGGAACATTTCTTGTGCCATGACCAATCACATTTGCGATCATTACACAAAAGGAAACCCAAAACCATACACTAATTACAGTTTTGTAATCTTGTGTCTGGTTGGCTTGTTAATCTTGAAATGAGAGCAACCCAGAAATATTCCTGGCGTTCCCAGTTTTTTAACTTGACATTTAGCCATACACATTGTTCAAAGAACAAATTCATGCCTCCACCTACTCCCATTTAGGCAAAGACAAAAGATGCACAAGATACATCTAGCTTCCAAACCAGACCAAGAATCACGTTCTGGAGAATGCAACCCATTGCAGAGAAAACAAAATGCCTCTTGATCTCTCATATGATCAGACACTTAACTGACCCAAAATTCTTAGAATTATTGACAAAGTACATGTATCCTGTGCATATTTTGCTTCCTAATAACATATACGTGATTATTTATCTTAACAAATTTAAGCACCTAGTACTGTGGGTAAATGTTTTGCGGATAGCCTCCTTGTTCACTGGTTGGGTATCCATCATAACCTCCATACATTCCTCCATCTTGAGTAGGAGGTACCCCTCCCGGCCATGACCCCTGCATCTTGGCAACGACTGCTGGCGGTGCCACACTGGTAGGGGCATTACTGATGGGTACATAGCCAGAAGGATAAGAACCTCCATCTACGCTACTGATTGGACGGCCAGAATTCGGGAGGCTGTATGCCCCTGTGAGAAGCCAAATTTACAACAAAAAAGCCTTTGAAATCAAATCCTCTCACATGTAACAATTAACAGAGCAGTCACCTCCAATATTAACAGCAAATAAGAGAAACTGATGAATATCTTTTGCCAGCTCTGTGACGTGAAACTAAGGTTAAACCCTTTAACTCTCAGAAATGATTAACATGTACCTTCTCCTTGTAATATCCTTAATTTTTCTTGTAAAAAGGTACTGAGAATACTCAACTTTATCAAGTAGAAGTTGTTATCTTGACCTAACACCAAATACCCCCAACTAATTTACAAGAAAATGTGTAGCAGTTTGTGGAGAGAATTATCAATCAACTCTTCGGAGGTAAAGGGTTCACAAATGTATGCTAGTCTAGTTTAGGATGTTCTGCGGCCATATCCTCTTGATAGTTCACTGAACATTTCACAAAAGAAGATGATGACAAGAAAAGGTTTTTTTTTTTTCACAAGGTTACTTCGGTAACTGCATCCTGAACCACAACAGTCTCCTATCTTGAATTAATGACTTCAGGTTGGAAATTTAAGAACATAGAGTAAAAACAAGATGTTGAAAGTTATTTCTCTTTTTCAAGCACCAACATTTTTAAATCTGGACTGAAAACAATTAGGAGAATTCAACAGCATTTAAGATCCCAAATATCAAAGATCCAATCTAAAGATCTGATCCCAAGATCTGATCCACAGGCCTTGACTTTGCATTTGAGGATGATGGCTGCAGCAAAATATATTTTGAGAGGTACTCGGGGGAAAAAACAACACTGCCCTTCACATCATAACATGACTGTAATTTAATTTCCTAAAAGGTATCTGGCTACAAACCTGGGGGTAAAGGACGGGCTGCATACGCTGCTGTAGACGGAACTGGGGTTCCAGTAGTGGGTGGGATATCCGTTGCTGCTGTGGTAGTCACCACTGAAATACAACATTGGAGAGATTCAGGGAGGGGCTGAAAAAATATGTATCCATGGACTTGATATTTATTACCTAGACATACCCTCAATTGGCACACCAAGCTGCTGAAGTGTGTACTCAGCAGCATAGCTCTTGGCCTCTTCTACTGTGCGGCACAGCTTAGGGGGCTGATATTGAGTAGCCAATCCTGGAATGGATACCTTAAAAGAAAATTAAC